CTTGAAGCTAAGCAACTTTTTTTGAGTCACTTCAAGAACTAAAATCATTTAAAGGCTCTACTGTACTTAACCAAACACTAAAAAAGGAACTTGTGGTCAGTTTTCAGCCAAAATATAACTAAAACAATCTTTCTAATATATGAAGTTCACTCCATGAAAGAGCTTCTAGCATCTTATCTTGTGGGGTGAAACATATCCTTACAGTAGCTGCTAGTGATCATAGCCCTTTGCTTGTCACAACCCAACAGCATCACCCATTACATCTTGAACTTGTTCTGCATGAAAGACTTCAAACTATGAGTTGAAGTGTAAAGGGGTTTGCTCCATCAATATCAAAAAGGAAAATTATCATTTACCACCCTTGAGGTTTCACGTATTATCACCTAGACCCCTGCACTATTAAAAATATACACTTACCCCCCTCCCTATCCTTTAATGAAAGTTTAGTAACTCTTAATTACGTTTAGAAATAGTATAAATTCAGTTTTATAAATTTACTCACTTGCAGATTTAACCTGATAATTAATAAATTTACTTGTATTCAAAATCTTTCCACCAGAAAGTACTTTTTTGCAAGAACGCGTATTTTCCAATGAAATAGCCCTTATTATTGACAAGGTACATAACTACATCTACATGTGGGTAAAATTATACACTTAGCAGACACAATCGAAAGGTACGAGCTTAAAACCATAAATCTTTGTTACTTTAAAAGTTCAAAAATATATTTGAGGTTGTAGAAATCTTGGTGAAACTTTTCTGACGAGAGAAAGATGTCTAATACGTATATTTTATACGTAAAGCAGATGTTGTTGAAGGACTTTTAGGACACTATTGTTACCTATTGTAAATTTGTATGAGAAGTACTTACTTTTGTGGTTCATATTAGGGAAGGACAAGGCCCGGTCTCGAGAATGACCGATGTTTTAATTAAGATTTTAGGTTGGGATCGAGACCAGACCCGTGAACAAGAGGCCTCATGCCTCACTTTTTGGACCAGGATTGGAGCCCATGTTTTGACCCCGTTCATTTTTTCATTAAAACCATTGAAAACATTTTAAAATTGGTTATAGTCCGTTTAAAAATTAAAAAATAGGTAGTTAAATATTTAAATTATCGGGAGCGAACCTAGACAAATTAGGAGATTAGAACCGAAGATAAGGTCATTGGCCACACTAATTATTTAGCACTAACCAGTTTGGGTGTGAAACTCATGATAATTATAATGTATTTACCAGTATTTTACATGTAAACATGTTCATATTTTGTCAAATGTTAATTTACAAGTTATATTATACCTATAATGATCTCATTTTCAGTGATAAAAAAGTTTCTAGAGTGCAAAATGGGAATTTTCTTGCATTCAATCTTTAATGGTAAAACCGAGTAGTCAACATCACTTTTGAGTCAGTTTGGTTCAATTAAGTTGATTTGTTTCAGTTCTTGACAAATTTAGCTTATTTTGATCATTTCCATGTCAGTTGAGTATATTTAGTCACTTTACAAATTCAAAGGTATAAAACGAACTACCTAGAGTGGGGTCAGTTTTGTTTGACTTCCGATAAAAATGTAATTAATATGGACAAATTTATTAATTACCGGATCAAATTTGTGATTGAATAAAATTACAGTATTAAAAGCGGACCTAACGAAAAATAATGAAATTATATATATAGTTTTCTCTAAATATAGATTAGAAGTTATTTAATCATCATTAAAGGATAGGGAGGGGGGGTAAAAATATATTTTTGATAGTATAGGGGTGTGATTGATAATGCATCAAACCTCAAGGGAGGTCAATGATAATTTCCCTATCACAAATCAGTGGGCTGACTTGTACTCACAACTAATTGAAATAGTCATTCTCAAGCTTTTTGCTATTACTGGTAACCATCATCAATATAATTTTAGTTTCGTAGTAATCAACTCCATTTCTCCCATCAGTATTATCCTTTGTGCCAAATTCACTACTTACAACAGAATCTCTCTGTTCTCTTTCCGTTTTCCATTTCTCAATCGTTGCCCTTCTCTTAGCATTGCATATCCTAAGCGGACTTCTGTTTCTCCTGCCCATAGGACTTCTATTTTGTCCACATCTTCTACCAGGACATCTGCTTCTAGGTCTATCTCCTTTCTTGGTGATGATGATCACCCCTCCTATGATATCCATCATCAGAATCAAGTTGTTTGATGAGAAACACTTTCTTCTTGGCAGCTGCTAGTACTAGTATAAGGAACCATATGTAACCATTATGGCATTATACTCAAATGCATATAACATAAATCCATGAGTCAAATTAATATATACAGAAGTAATTATTTATACTAAAGGAATTGAAATAAGAAATGGGGGAAACATAAGTAAACAAAAAAAAACAATATTAAAAATCAATCATTGAAAAGTGATCAACAAAAATCAACAAAAAGCAACACGGTGAAACAAAAAGCAATAAACTTTTGTTCGGGGGCATATGGCTGACTTCCCCGATATAAAGGGATTGAGCCCATTTCTTTCGTTGGCTGGCGGAGTCTCCACCAGTGTTGCCACCACTAATCATGTGGATGTGGCGTTTGTACTGCTGGTGGGAGCCCTCTTCCTCGTCATTGAGGCCCCCCAATTTCACGCTTCTTTCCCTGTGGGTTTCCCAAAGGGATGGTGTTAGGGTTCACCCACTTATTAGCCTTCGGCGGAGGGCCTTGGTGATGAGGGGGGGCCTGGGGAGGGGACCCCCTGACGAATTGGGACAAGTGGCCTGCCTGTATCAGCCTTTCAATGGCTGTCTTCAGTTGATGGCAGTCATCAGTCTTATGCCCATGGTGGCGGTGAAAGCGGCAGTAAGGCTCATCAGGACTGATGGCATAAATTTTGAGGGGTGTGCGGGAGACTCGCTCCACGAGCCCTCTCTCTTCCGCGTAATCCAAAATGACGCTGACGGGATGCGTCAGGGGAGTGCGTGGGTGCTCGAGGAGGACGGGTTGCGCCTATGCCTTCGGATTGTTCTTGTAACCGCCCTCGGGTCTGGCTTGGCCACCTCGGGGGCGATCATTGTATTGTGCTTCACGATTGGCCGGAGGGGGAGGTCCCCCGTGCCGATTTCTGCCATCATTCTTTTGAGAAGGGTCCGTGTTACGGCGATCTTTCTCGATCTCCTCTGCTTCGGCGTATCGGTCCCCCCGCTAGAGGGCCTTTGTATAATCGCGGGGGGATCGGTGATAAGGCTTCTGGAGAAATTACCGTTGCGGAGGACGGTATGGAAGAGGGCCATCAGTGTTCTATCATCGGCGCCCTCGACCTCGAGGGAGGCCTGCCTCCAGCGCTCCAGGAAACTCCGAAGGGTTTCCTCCTTCTGTTGTCTTACGTTCAAAAGGTGGGAGAAGTGTTTCTTTGAACGATGCCTCCCGGCAAATTGTGTGAGGAAGTGATGGGCAAGTTCCTGCCAAGAATCGATGCTGCCTTCGCCCTTCGGGCAACCGGTTGAACCATTCATACGCTAGTCCCTCCAAGGTGGAGAGGAACCAACGGCATAAATATTCATCCGAGGCCCCCATCATCATCATGCTGTTTTGATACCTGCTGTAGTGTTCTTGGGGATCCGTCTTCCCCTCGTATAGTTTGATGGGCTGCCCCCGGTACTTGTTGGGGATCTTGGCCGCCAGCACCCTCGGGGTAAAAGGTGTCCTAGTGCGGAGTTGGATGAGGGGCTCTCCTGAGCCTTCGGCGAGTTTGCGCTTCATTTCCTCCACCTGTGCCCGGAGGTCAGCGTACTCCGGATCTGGCCTTGCCGTAGAAGCTGTCGGGGGTGCCTGACGAGTCTCCTCGAGTTGACGGAGAAGGGCTTCGATGATTTCGTCCTTGGGGTCCTTCGGGGCAACCCCTTGGGAGTTGGCCCGGAAGGATTGAGCCTGATTGATCTGATACCTGGCGTCCTCGGGGTGGAGGAGGGCTTTGCCTTTGTCCCGAGGGGGAGGCATGCCCTCGTCCCCCGAGGCAGAGGCTCCACTCTCCTGGGGTCTACTGATTGTTTGTTTACCGAGGCGGTCTTGGATCCCTCGGTGCCCGAGAGCACCCCCTAGCCTTTCAAGTGCGGAGGTTCGGGGTTTTTCTTTGTTTATGGGCCGCTTATCCTTGGATTGGGCCTCTTGGGAGGCGGTATCTTGTGCCACGACCCCCTCGGCGTTGCCGACCCCTAGGGGAGGATTGTTGAACAGAGGAGGGAGTGGCGGAAAATGGACAACGTTTCCCCCGCCATAGGGTTGGAGGGGTGCCTGTGAGGCGAAGGCCCCGGGATTGAGAGCCATGTTTTGAACAAAGGCCGCAAAGGCAGCCTGAAGATCGGTGGCCGGGGCCGGAGGGGGAACTTGGTTCTCACTCCGATCCCTCCTTCGATTATCAAGGCCAATGCGGGCATCAGGAGTGTTCTTCTATAACTGTTGACGGAGGTCAGTAGCAGCCTGCTCTAACTCGAGGATGGTACCGCCTTCGGGTACCAAGAGCCTGTTGGAGGCTTCAGCCCCGTTGGTGTCGTCGGGGGCTACGTGGTTCTCCTCGAGAGTTTTGGATTGAGCACGAGTTTTTCCCATTTTTGGTAGGTGTTTTGTGTTTGGTGGAGGGGGAGGGTTTCTTACTTGATTGTTCAGACCTCTCAATGAAAGCACCAAATGATGGATGGTCTACCCGCGGGGTGTCTTGTCCGAGGGGTTATTACGGAATAACCTAGAGAGAAGTCAGAGCAAGCAACACTACTAAAAAAATGGCCTATAGTGACTTTAAATAAGTGTCACTAAAAGTTTCTGTGACACTTCATATATGTCAAGGTAGGTAAAAAAATTGTGACATTTAATATGAGTCACAAACAAGTGTCAGAAAATTAGTGACATTATAATGTTGCAAAATATAATGACACAATTGTAACAATAAATTTTAAAACACAAACATGTCACACCAATTAATGACACGCTAGCATCATAACTTGTATATAATATAATATAATTTACACCCAAATTTATTAATATTCATATTCATATTTAAATGAGATAAGTTTCAACAAGTAATCAAGACCAACATTTTTATTTACTACTCAAATTGTTACACAAGATATTCAAAGAGTTAATGACAATAATATAATGTATACTCCCACATGATACAAAACTACATATGATTCATTTACAATCCAAATACCCATAGAAATTTTCTAGGACTAAATAAGCTCCATATGATATTAGTTGACAACTTGACATGCATCGATAGGGCATCATCTTGCTTCTATTTTGTCTGAAAAACAGAGGAAGAAGAAAACAAAATAGAAAATAAATTAGAATGACTTATATATTTCATAATTTTGAAATATGTGATCTATGATTAAACAATATAAAATGTCAATTGTTTGGGCGTAAAAAGCAATATGTAAAACACAAAGATGATTCCTAACCTCAAGATAATGATACTAGCGCCACAGAATCTTGGAGAAGATGAACTGAGAACATGGATTCGAATCCAATCACATGAACATTTTTGAGCAGCAAATCTAAGGAGCTGCAAAGTGACGGTGAGTAGAGGATAAACTTGAACTAAATTCTTCAGTAACCGATATGCATTGTCTTCATTTTAAAAATTTATCATTTTCATTTATTACCTTCCCTTGCGCTGCAACCCTGGAGAGAAAGTTCAACCGTTGAATCAAAGTTAAACACATAGATCAAACACCTAATAAAGCATAGGTTATTATTTATGATCTTCTCCTAGGCCATCAACATATTACTTTCAAGTTATAATAAAGAGGTATGAAACTAACAAAAAGTTTAAAAAATAGAGGTAATATGAGAAGATGGTCTCTCAGACATACTCACAAACACCTTCACCGGAGTAAAGTCGTCTAGTTCTACCTGTGGTGGTAAATGTGGATGACCTGCAGTAGAAAGGTTAGTAATAAAGGGGGTGTCCTCAGATATATTATCATCATTGGACCGGGCTGGATCAAGTGTAGTATCAGCAGTGTTAAATTGCTAAAGATGGATCAGAATGTTGTTCTTCATTTCCAAATTTAGCATCATTCGGGATTCCAAGATCAGGACTTGCGCGTATAGTATGAACTCCCTCGGTTACCGCCTAGCCACCGGGGGTTCATAATGATCAAATGCATCCGGGCTTATGGCAACAAATCGACTACCTGCAGGGACTATCTTTGAGGCATAAATGACCTCAGCAACATCATTGGTATCATGGGATATGGAAGCACAGTTATAAGCAGAGGGGACTATGTTTGAGGCACCAACTACCTCAGTAAAATCACTGGCAGTAGTGACTGATTCAAGAATAGCTTGGTCTGATTCAAGAACAACACCATCAAAATTTACCGAAGGGACAGATTTAAGAACACTATCATTCGGGGCTGCAATCCCAGGGATGGCACATTTTTCCGGTACAGAAAATACAACATCAGCAGGGACATTAACCGGGGCATCAACATTAATTACAGATTGAAGAACAACACTTAGTTTGCTATCTGCACAATCAGATAAGACTGCTGGGACATTGGCAGTGGTAACTTGGCTTTTAACAGGTGCAACATAATCAACCTGCAGGACATTTACTGTGACATCAAGAGTAATCGGGGCACCATACGTAGTGCACCAGAATACTCAAAATCATGGGCATCTGCGGATATAGCAGTTTCAGAGGAGATTTGTGTTATTCTAACCTCTCCAACAGCACACGGGGTTGCATTGGCATGGTCAGCAGGGACAGAGATTTCAGTAGCACAAAATGGAACATCACTCTAAATAATGGGACATTCTGCAGTTTCACAGATAATTACACATTCAACGTTAGCAATAGAGGCACAAAGAGGGGCAGTAATATCCTTATCACAGGTAACCTCAGCCAAAGGTAGCATCATAGGTTTTATAATCTTTTTTTATTCATCCTGGGGACACATGGTGGTAGTGTGGTCAAACTGAAAGCAAGCAGAATAGGAGGGAAGTTTTGGGGCAAAACTTTTAAAACATTAAGTACAATACAACATCTGGCTATTGAGGGTCTAGTGAAATTGGTCGTAAGGTTATCGATTTGAAGAGGTCTTTCCAAGAGACAGGTAATGGAGAATAAAGCCCTAGCATCATGGAGGTGAATTGGGAGGCCATCGAGGGCCACCCACACTGGACTCAAAGGGGAGTCGCGGTCAGTAGCATTGCAGGGGGTCCATCTGGTTACCTTCATCGCGTAACCAAAGAAATCCCAATGTTTTTGTAACCAAAACCTTTGGAAATCAGAGTCGGAATCGAAGTTTATCAGGATCCGATTCGATTGAATTAGTCCAACAGAAAACTGGTCAAAGAACCCTAGGGCATCCAGGGCTTTTTCTAATCGATGATGGAAGGGGTGGGCGACCTTGTGAGAAGGTCCCAATAAGAGCAAATCGGAAATTATAGATAGAACCTGGATATCGTCTGCAGTAAATGAGACCGCCGGTGTGTTATTGAATCGACCGGGTCACTTGGGTGGAAGATTCAGGAAGTCAACGTCGGAGAAAAGGCGTGGTTGGGTACGCAGGCGTTGGCCAGAGGATGTCTCCCTTACGGCCGCGACGTATGAAGGCTGAGCGGTCGAAGGTTCTGGTCCCTCCGCCGGCGGCTCGCTGCCGCTCAGGCATCGGGCGTGGTGTCCAAGCTACCAGATGTAGAGAGATGATAGAGCTTCTAGCTCTACAAAACTACTGATGCGAACAAATAACTTACATGAAGTGTCACTGTTATATGTTGAAGCAACAGTATTAATTTTCATTGATATATAAGTGTCGCAAATGTATCTATGTCATTGTAGTGTCAGTAAACAAGTGTCATTGTAAACTGTTTTTCTAGTAGTGCAAGTAGGAGAGAGAGGAGATTATTATTTATGAACTCGAGATGTTCTAAGGTCTGGGATCGTTTACAAGGGGAAATGGGCTGCTATTTATAGCAGCAATAAATGCGATGAGAGTACACGTGTCAGTAATCCAACGGCCGAGGGGTCACGTCAATCGGGGTGGCACCGACAGTGGCATGTCCACCGCATTGAATGCGGTGGGTGGATGTGACGTTGCATTAAATGCAGTGGTTGGCTGTCTCCAAAGGGAATCTTCGATGATTGAGTCTTGTTTAGCCGAAGGCTCTTCATGCAGCCGAGGGCTTCATGTAGCCGAGGGCTCTGTATGGCCGAAAGCCTGGTTCAGCCGAAGGCTTCCCTGATGCCGAGGGCTCAGCAGTGCCGAAGGCTCCTGTTTTCTGCTATTTTCTTCCAGTGGTTTCATATGCCAAAAAGAGTTCATGCTGTGTGTTCTGGAGCCTTCGGCCAAGGAGGCCGAAGGCACCCCGGTTTGTATTTCGGGCTTCTTTGGGGCTTGGGCCGTTGTATTTGGGCCTCAGATGTTCCCTGGGCTTCATGGGCCTGTGTAGGAGAAGTAGGAGTCTATGGGCCGGGGGTTCCTGGGCCATATACTTCATCACTCGTAATAATACTCCCTCCGGTTTTTAATAAACTTCACACTTTCCTTTTTGGGACGGTCTAAAATAAACTTCACACTTCTTTATTTCCTTTTTTGGCAAAGAAATCTACATCAAAACAGTGCCAAACAGTGCCAAACAGTGTCTCAACAGTGCCAAACAGTGTCTCTATAGTGCCAAACAGTGTCAAACAGTGCCTCAACAGTGTACTCTACAGTAAAGTCAAATTTCCTTCCTTATTTTGTGTGAAGTCAAACTGTGAAGATTAAAAACAGGGGCGGAGGTAGCAATAAGGTTAGGGGGGCCATTGCCCCTCCCAATTTTTTTATTTTTTAATACTATTAGTATTAATATATTAGATCATTGACTATGTGAAGGATATTCAAGTACTGAAGTAGTTCAATTCATAATCTGCCTAATCGTATGCTCTTTTAGTTCGTGTCTTAAATTGTGATGGGTCTTCAAGTTTTTCTTTTCATTTGTAATTTTTTTAGTGCTTAACTGATTTATATATATATATATATATGGTTAGCTATAATATTATATTATTATGATTGGAATTGATAAAAGTGTCACATAGTATTATTACGATTGGAATTGATAGATACGGAGTATATGATTTTAGACTTATTACTTTAGTCATTTAAAAAAATCATCTATAAGGCATTGTTTCGAGCTCAGATTATATTTAGGAAAAAATAATATGATTCTATAAATTTGTGAGATTTTACGTATTTTTTTGATGAGATCTAATAAATTGATCGACTTTGACATATGATAAAATTCATCATAATTATATGACTATTTGGATAATTATATTGGAGAGTAATATATCTAACATATGCAAACAATATTAAAAATGAAGTATATCATATGCTTAATTGTTTTTTAATTGTGTGATACAATATGAAACACAAAAGTATCATTTTTGGCATTTGTTTTCCTTTCCTAATCATTGCGCAACATATCATAATAGTATAATTTTGAAAGAATGAGCATCTCACTATAATTAATCTTAAATACTGATATATAGAGTTTTGCGATATCGTTCTATAAAATCTCGAAGTATTCAAATAAGCCAACTATTCGATATTGTCCTAGAAATTTTCAGAGTACATTTTATTGCTTGAGCTCATTCTTGCCTCCCCCCTATCGTCAAATCCTGGCTCCGCCCCTGATTAAAAAAAACCGAAGGTAGTAATACGTAGTACTCCCGAAAAAGACCGGTTCTATTATATACGGAGACGGAGTACGTAGTACATTGATTGGCATTCATCTCAGTACTAGTCGTGTTAATTTCGCGTCTCCCGAAGAAAAACCGGTGCTATTCTCGTTAGTTGTTTAAGGACCAATGTAATAAAACATTCCCTTCTTTCAAGAAAAACATTCCACGATTCCACCGGAATAAGAACTAAGATAAAAAGAGTAAAATAAGAAAGGTAAAATAAAGTGTAATAATTACAAATAGGAAAAAGGGAAAGGTAAGGCGTAGGAAAGAGTTCCACATGATTCTTTGCTTTTTTTTCCTTTTTAATTTCTCTAACTACAAAGTACAAATTAATCTAAATTTTTGAAGATTCCAATTTCGCTTTACCATCGTTTTCAATATTATTTGGTTATTATAGATCCAGGCTTACCTGATCTTCCACAAATGAACAGTCCGGTCCTTTAATTTTAACCTAAAAAATATTAAACTAAATTAAATCCTAATGTCACGGGTAATTTGTATTGGAATGACATTTTATTCCCTAAGTTCCAAGACAAAGAGACACATATTCTCGATCTCTTCTTCCTAAATAAAATCAGACAAATATACTCTACACGACTACACCCCACCCCCACCCCCACCCCCACCCTACCATCTTTTATATTCTCGTTTTTCAAAAGTGGAATCCTAATAATCTTCTTTTTCCATCTCTCTTTTCCACTAATGAATCATCTGACGATTCACTCTCAGAAGTATCTAACATATACTCCCCATTTTATGACCAGGAAGCTTTTATGATAATTGATAAACAATACTCCATCCCTCTGTATTCTAAAGTTTGCTACACTTTTCTTTTTGGGATGTATTTAAAAGTTTGCTACACTTTCCCTTTTTGGTAACTTTTTTCCTTTAAAAATATACCCTTACTTTTTCCACTTTTTATCTTTTTTTCATACTTTTACACACTCTCTCCCACTTTTTCTACACTATTCATTACTCCTACTACTTTATCCTAAAACTTTGTGCCCAAACCTAATGTAGAGAACAACTAAATACGACGGAGGGAGTATATATGTTCAGGATATAAATAAGCTAAGCTTTGTTAGACACAAAGTGAAAAAGGTAAAAGTAATCGGATTAATAATCCGATTTAGCTTGGTTAACTTTTGGTAAGCAATGATGCAATATTAATCAACCTAATCAGTAATCAAATATTCCATACATTTTTTTTGTAACCTTATCCTACGTATGACACATTTACACCTACATTTCAGCTTAGATATATACGTAGGGTTGGTTTGCAATTCCTTTTAAAAAGGCACTTCTCACCTTTTGGATTTAAAAAAGCACTTATTTTCCCAAATACTACAACTTTTATTTTTCTTGACTTCCGCGTCAAAACTGTTTTTACTTTTTCTATTACACAAAAAGCACTTATTTTACCAAACACTACCGACTGTTACTTTTCAAAATCATTTTTTTCTCAAACACTATCAACTTTTATTTAATCACTTCTCCTCATTTCATTAAAAAAAGCACTTTTTTAAAAGCAGAAGTTGTTGCAAACAGACCCGTAGTATATTGCTATCTACTTTTACTACTAAGGTACTTCATTCCACATAAGAAATGGTCTATATAACAATTAATTATAAAACATAACATTAAATAATATAGGAAAGTAGTTTTTCTAAAAAAGGAATAGTTACATTTTAATTAGAATCTGAGTAATCTATATTTTACAATTGTCAATTTGTCATATCCATTTTAACATTTTGTATTTCTTTATATTTTTATACTATTATCTAATCTAATCTAATAATAAAAAAAACTTATAAACACCAATGATGGTTAGGGCATTTTAGGAATGATAAAAATGTTGGTGTAACACTAAAGCAAGTTACACTTGTACAATTTGTTTTAGCTATTGTACCTTTCATCATTACTCCTATTTCGGCTACTTTCTCCATTACCAACTGTTAAGTTTACTATTAACATCCTATATGTGGCTTTCGTATTTTAATTATTCTATGTACTTAATGGTATTGATTCTTATGTAATGTTTTCATTCAATTTTTCATTTTAATTCTTTTTTCTAGGTCACCGTATATGCTATGTAGAAGATGAAATGCCCCCTTTTTATTATTATGGTGATTAATTACTAATATTATTTATTCTTATTGTTGCTGTTATTTGATATTATCATAAATATAAAAAAAATTATTATTATTGATATTAGTAAAATAATAACAGTAACTATATTATTATGATTGAAAAATCATTTTTTTGTAAAATTATATCTTCTCCCTTCGAAATGAAATGGCCAATGCCCAGCAAGGTTTTCGCTCATATTGCAAAAATGATTACTTCAAAAGTAGCCTTTTGTGGCCCAAAATATTTGGCTGCATCTCTCTGTTAAGAGTTATTTTGTTAATCTTATTCTTATTACTTATTTCTTTTTCTTATTAGATTGATTTGTCAGAAATATCAGATTGAAGAATTCATATCAGATCAGAAATATTCAGACCATATCATATAAAAAAGACACGGTTCAGAAAAATTAAGACATGATTTATTATTATTATTATTATTATTATTATTATTATTATTATTATTAATATAATCCATATTATTATTATTAATATAATCCATATTATTATTGTTATTATCAATATGACTATTATCATTACTATTATTATCAATACTGTTATGGTTATTATTATTATTTTCATTTATGATTACTGTTGTTGTTATCTACTACCTCCGTCCCATTTATATTGTCCCGGAAGAGGGTGGCACGGTTATTAAGAAAAGTGGGTTTGTGTTGTTGATATTAATTGATAAAGTAAGAATAAAGTAAGAATGATTTAGAGCCACACAAACTTTGCCAAATATGGTATGAGACAATTTAAGTGGGACTTTCCGAAAAGGTAAAATGGGACAATATAAATGGGATGGAGGGAGTATATGTTATTATTATTATTATACGTATGTATAGAAGCATAAGTTCTTGCTATTAATATTTGAAAAATAATAATAACATTATTTCCAAATGCCA